CGAAAACGAGTGATGTTGAGCTGGCCATGCCCACGCCAGCCACACCCACTCACCCTCCTGATGCCCCCGATGCACAGCCCTGATGTGGCCCTCAGTGAAATTAAGTTTCACACCCCTGACTTAGACCATGATATCTCTTAAACTGGCAATGGCTTAAATTCTGTAGTCCAGTCTGTAGAAGCATCCTGTGATGACCCGGGGCGTGGCACAAAGGCAACACAGTCAAATAAGCAAGAAGAGTCCCTTTATTATCTCCAACTTTGCCCCCAATGTCCAGGTTACCTTTGGCTGGAGAAAAACTCTCCCAGGAACAGCCTTTAAGTGGAGGAAATTCAGTCCGAAAACAAAGTACAAAAAAACTGTGTTAAGCCTGGATTCCCCAACGGGTGTTAAGGAAAACAAACTAAACAGAACGTGCAGCGAAGTCAGATAGGAAGACAGGTAAATGTGTGAGATAAGTTTTCTAGTTAACACGCAGTAAAAATACATATACGCTTGTGCTATCAAAAATATAGTTTATTCCATTTAAGAATTATAGCATAGTCAAATAAACGGTCCATTAGTCATATATCAATTTCAGTCAAGTCTTGTCGGGGATACTCTATTTGCAAAGTCCGTGTTGAATAGCCAATGTCAGTTCACTTACAATAAATCAGTCCAATCTTTATCTTCTCTCCGTTGAGAAAAATCAACACTCCTTTTTCTCTCCCCGTTCCAGCAAGAACGCAGTCATCAATCCATCCAGTAATTAGGGATCTTCAAGCCATAGAGAGAGAGAGCTGCAATTGCCTCGCTTTTTATATAGTGCTTTTACAACCATACCCTTAATTACATTCTTGCAGTTAAAGTTACACACACTTTAACTAACAAACCATGATACCATATTTATTATTTTTACCCAAACCAGTTAGGGTAAACAATGTTATCCCTAACAAACTGTAACTAAAAATCCAAACAAACCACGCTGCAGTAATTAACTTGACAGGGCAGGAGAAGGAATTGTAGACTTGAAAGGCCAGGAAAACACACAGTTAGGAAGACGCCAGGAACACAGATAAGCCTTCGACAATACCGGATAATTCACAATTTGCTCTCAACAAATTGCTGTGCGCAGCTTCCCTTTTTAAACACTGTGTTCCCAGCTGCAGCTAAAAGAAGGGAATTAAGGCCCTTTCCTCCCCCATAAGCCACGCAACTCATGTTGCTCCCTTCTCCGTTCCTCCCTGCGTGCCCTAGGATGAAGAGGAGGTGGGCCTGGGTCTTCCTCCGAATTCCCTCTCCCTTGCTCTCCCTCTCCCCTGCTCTGCTCAGCTGGACTGTGCCCTTCCCCAGTTTCTTCCACAGCCAATGGAGCCACATTCCCACTCCCTGTCAGCTGCTCGGCCTCCCCCTCCGAATCAGATTCCGAAAGGGGCATGACACATCCATGGCTCAATCTGATCAGATTTGTTTAGGTGAGCTTGATTTTTTTAAACACCAATGAAATAGACATACTATTTTGATGAATTCAGCCAACTAGTTGGCTTGCCGATCGTAGCTTATTACATCTAGCAGGAATAGGTTGATTGGCTGGAACCAGGCAGTGGCTAGAAGTCATCTTGCAATACAAGAAGTGCTCAGCAACCATAATGGAGCTTATCTATCATGGTTGTAAGCCTGACGGTCACAAATCAAGTCATCCACGTGACCAAACTTCCAGGATTATTATTTTTCCAGTGGTTATTAAGTGAACCCTCCAGTTGTCAAGCAAACCAATGGTTCGCTGTTAGCCAATTTTGCCGAAAACTGGAAGTAAATGAGTTTTTAGCAAAACCGGAAATAAAATCCAGTTAGATAACTATGGGATGCTGCAAATGGCTATAAACACTGGTCACATTATGGAGACTCGGCTGTTAGAACGTCTAAACTGTCGTAAGTAACCCCAGGGAGATCTGTCATAACTCGGAACAGTCGCGAAACAACCGGTTGTGAATGGAGGGATGCCTGTACTGTCTCTTCCTCAGTACTTTCTCTTTCCAATTTCTTTTCATTGTGAAATGTGAGGTGCCTGATAATACCAGTGAGAAACACTTCCCGAATATTTTCCCAACTGCAAATCTTTTTCTGCATTCAAACTTCCAAAGGTGGCCGGAAAGGAGCTGCTCTCTCGACTGTTGCTGAATTCTACCCTGAAGATAACAATTCTCTCCAGATATCCTTTACCAACTAATTCAGAATGCCAAGAACCGAAATAACAAAATGTGTGGATCTATGGCTCGTATACAACTCTGCAGGGTTTTCTGGTTTGATTGCCGCTTTGTTTCCTATTTTGTTCTTCCGGCATCTCTCCCTGCGTTCGCACAACCTTTTCTATTCACATGCTAGTTTACCCAACGTGTGAACGTTCCTCCCTGCCCTGTAGATGAGTTCTTCAGTAAATTAAGCCTTTGCCACCCTGTGGTTAGAATGCAGTATTGCAGGCTGACTCTGCTCACTGCCAGCAGTTTGATCCTCACCAGCTCAAGGTTGACTCAGCCTGCCATCCTTACGAGGTCAGTAAATGAGGACCCAGATGGTTGGGGGCAGAGGTGGTATTCAGCAGATTCCGACCAGTTCTGGAGAACCGGTAGCGGAAATTTTGAGTAGTTTGGAGAACCAGCAAATACCACCTTTGACTGGCCCCACCCCCATCTATTCGCTGCCTCCAGAGTCTCAGCTGAATTGGCTTTGGTTGCCCTGCACAGGAGAACAGAGCTGGAAAGCAGGTTAGTGGGGTGGGGAGGGAATGGGATTTTGCAGTATCCTTCCCCTGCCACACCCGCCAAGCCACACCCACCAAGCCACGCCCACAGAACCGGTAGTAAACTTTTTTGAATCCCATCCCTGGTTGGGGACAATATGCCAACTCTGTAAACTGCTTAGAGAAGGCTGTAAAGCACTATCAAGCGGTATATAAGTCTAAATGCTATTGCTGTGCACATTATAGATGCATTGCCGTAATAAATAATTTTAGGTACATCGTGTAACCCCTCCATAAAGGATCTTCATCCCCAGTTGTGTATTATTTTAGGGGTTCTATTTCTATTCTATTTCTATTAGACATCTTCTGTTCCTTAACTCCTGCTTCCTCTACAGCTTCCCGTTCAAAGCAGAACCGCTGGATAAACTGAAAATAACTTTTCAAAACAGCTCGGATTTCTTTGGACGAATTATCGTCTACCACCTTGACATCCTTGGGCAGAAACTTTGATAGAGAAGGAGAAAAAGCTGAAGGACTTGTGAAGCCGGTAGACTGGCCTGCCCTCTGTCAGAAATGGTGTAGAGTCTCCTGCTTGGGCGGAGGGTTGGACTAGATGACCTGCAAGGTCCCTTCCAACTCTTGATTATCTGTTAAATTTGTGTAGAAAAGAGGGACCTGGGGGGGGACATGTTAGCAATGTTCCAGTATCTCAGGGGCTGCCACAAAGAAGAGAGGGCGAACCTATTTTCCAAAGCACCTGAAAGCAGGACAGGAAGCAATGATGGAAACTACTCAAGGAGAGAAGCAACCTGCAACTAGGGAATTTCCTGACCGTGAGAACAATCAACCAGTGAAACTGCTTGCCTTCCGAAGTTGTGGGTGCTCCATCACTGGAGGTCTTTAAGAAGAGAACAATTAAAAAGGGCTTAGCAACTGAAATTCTGGTCCCCGTTGTTGCAATTCGAAGGCCACCTGTGCATGGCAAGCCTAAATCAGATGCATTCATGGAGATGAGAAAGACCAGGAGTAAAATGTTAAAAACCAGATTCGAAGCAGCCGATTTGAAAATGAAAATCACTGAACAAGCCTGTTACATATATATATATATATATATAAATATTTATTTCTGTTAAACAAAAATATTCTCTTCGGTCTTGTGAAAGTTTTTCAGTCAGCGTCTTTTGACCCAACCCTGATTCACACCCAGCAACTGAGGAAACAGCATTTCCCCCCCCCCACCTCTTCTGCACACGTTAGAGCAAAAGAAGATTTTTGTATAACTTAAAAACAGGGCTCTCCAAACTTAGCAACTTTAAGACTTGTGGACTTCAATTCCCAGAATTCCTCAGCTTGACCACGCTGGCTGAGGAATTCTGGGAGGACAATTCTTAAAAAGTTGCTAAGTTTGGAGGCTCCTGACCTAAAGGAAGGTTCTGCTCAATACAGTTTCCTCCCCCACCCCCTCAACCCCCAAAATGTATGGTATGGCATTCAGGAGAAGTTTCCATAAATCTGCAGGAGCAGGTAAATTAGCAATTCCTTGAGAAGAAAGTAGGCTTGATATCGGGATCCTGTAAGCCACTGAAGTCAAGAAGGCAGAGTTTCTTTTGGAAAAAACTCAGGTGCTTCTTTCTGTACCCTGTTGTCTGAAAATGCCCAGTTCCGCACCATCTCTGTAGGCTGGCATGGAAGGTGCCTGTCTCAAAGACCCCCTTCCATCCACTTCTTCGATTCCGGAGGAGAAAACGGAGCTATTCATCACTTGGACTCTTCCCTTTTGTCATTTCTTTCCTTGTTCCGCAATAACTTGAGAATGTGTTTTTCAATCACTTGCTGGACTGGAAAGCAAAGAATTTTTTTACTGTTGGGAAAAGTAGTCATCACTTTTGGCAGTGATTTGTTTTCAAAAGCTTGTTTCAACTTAATTTCTGAACGTCTCGTTACCAGACTAGGTTACATCATCAGCAAGTATGTTTTTGTCCTATTCTCCTTAGCCATTCGAATGGCCAATCAACAAGAGAACCAATCAACTGCTCAGAATTTAAATATAACTCCAAACAACCAGCCAATCACACAACCAACTCAAAACAAACAACCAATCACACAACCACACTGGCACACAAGACATTCATAAACTAAGAAGAATAGTACAAGAAAATCTGGCTGATTATGTTACCTAGTTATTTTGCATGAAAACTGCCCCTTTTCTTGCTCCAATCCGGACAGGTTCCTTAAATTGATTTGATCAGGTGTGTTGTATGAGCCTAACTTCTTTTTTTTCCTAGCTCCTAAAATCCAAAAGAGCTGAACATTCAGCCTCTCCTATATTCCTATTTTGTTAATTATGTTGATTCTAGTTGACTTTTCTCCTCAAAAGCATTATATACTTGCCTGTATTCATTATCACAACAATCCTGCAAGATAATAAGAGGCTATAATTCTGCCAAGCAAAGTCAGCCTGTAATGGAGACTTTGCTGATTTCCTGGCTGTGATAAACAAAGCCAAAGATCGTTATCTAGACATACGTTGATCATATTTTAGAGTTTGTTTCATATTTTGTATTTTTATCTTTTGTGTTTTTATCAAAATGGGATGTGAATGTGCCACAAGATAATAAATCTACCAAGAAAAAACTGTGGCTTGGTTTGCCTGTCTGGGAAGGTGGGTGTTGTGACTCGGACAGTGAGGAGGTTGTGGGGGAACATAGGCCAGTCCTGGAGTCTGGGGAAGGCTCTGATGAGTGCTCTGCGTTGGAGGCAGAAATGGGGCCAAGGCCATCCGACAGTTATCAGCTGCCTTCAGAGTCGGAGATCAGTGGGGGGAAAAAAACAGCTGGAGCCTGTTCCCGATGTGCGCATGCACAGAGCTGCCAGAAGAAGGGAACAATTAAGGAACAAGGGTCGACTCGGGGGTAAAAGCTCAGATGGACGGTGAATGGCCATAGAGAATAAAAGAGGAGCGAAAGGGGAGTGGTTTTTGCAGGAGACAATTAGTTCAATTCATTAGGTGAAGATCTGTTCCTGACTTCTTGCTAAGTAATTTCTGCTACAGTGTGGTGTTTGGAAGATATCGGCCTGGTAACTCTCCAAGCCTGATAAAGGTATGTAGTTGTGAAATCTCATGAAAGACTGTTTGCTGGGACTTTGCTGGAGAGGAATTCCCTTTAACCTAAATAAAAGGGATTTTTATCGGGCCGAGGAGTTTGCTTCATGGTCTTGGGAAGCCGAGTTCAGAACAGTGGGGCTACTATGAAATAATTCCCCCCTCTCAAACTTACCCTTTTTATGACCCAAAGCCACCGCGAGGTCCATTGGAGTATAGCCAGAATCTGCTTCGGTGGTAAGGTCTGCGCCGCGGGCTGAAAACACAGAGCAAAAAATGGGTGGGTGATGAGTCCCCACGTCATCATAACAAGCTAAAACTCACAAATAATTACAACGAATGATCATATACGAGTGGGAGATTTTTCCTCATCCGCCCTACAGCCCCGATCTTGCACCAAGCGAAAGCATTCAGGACTTCTTGAGTGCCGTAGTTCGGCTATTTTTAAACTTAATGCGCCATTGGCGCACTCCACCACCAGTGATGATGTTGTCCCCGTACACTTCACACAGTTGCCGAAAAATTTCAATCGGTTTATGTTTTTTTCCCAACAGAAACCTTATCACTGATCGCACCTCACAACTCGCGGGATTTTCAATTGCAGCACACATTTCAAACGTTTGCTGTGAAATAACGGGCAACGATACGAACCTCCCATTAGCACGACTAGATGCAGACTGAGTGGCGGACGCACAGACCAAAGATGGCCGCACTAGCTCCGCCCCTTCTTGCTACAGATGAAAACGTAATCTATTTTGTGGATAGCCCTCGTAGATTGTGGACTTCCCTGCAGCCAAAGTTTGGGAAGGATTTTGTGGCAACTTAAAAGACTAGGAAAAACATTGTAGCTGAGGCTTAAAAGGGCTGAAATCTGCTTCCATTAACCCAGGAAAGGGTAACTTCCAGGTTCCCAAATACAGGTAGTGCTCGACTTAACGACCACAATTTAGCCCAAAATTTCTGTTGCTAAGCGAGACATTTGTTAAGTGACTTTTGTCCATTTTACCATTTTTCTTGCCACAGTGCAGTGAATCACTGCAGTTATCAAGTGAATCTAGCTTCCCCATTGACTTTGCTTGTCAGAAGGTTACAAATGGTGACCTGGGACACGGCAATAGTCATAAATATGAGTCAGTTGCCAAGTGTCCGAATTTTGATCACATGACCGTGGGGGGATGCTGCAACGGTTGTAAGCAGGAAAAACAGTTGTAAGTCACTTTTTTCAGTGCTGTAACTTCAAACGATCACTAAATGAACTGTTGTAAGTTGAGGACTATCTGTATTATTATTATGGTTGGTTGCACAATCAGCCAGGCTGTTTAGGCTGGATTTGGCATTTTAGTTCGCTTGAGTCCTTCCTAGGAATCTGGGCTAGACAGGCGTTCTTTGATGGCGTTAAAGGCATCGTCACAGGATAGAAGCTATTCCAAGCTGCCTTTTGCAATTGACTCATGATGATTTTGTCAATGCCAATGATGTTCAAGGGATGCTCCAGATCTTTTTGGGATTGCACCCAAGGGACCTATTACTATTGTTATCTCCCGGAATTCCTCCCGACTGGGTCATAAAATTTTGATGGAGCCAATTGCCCCAAACTGACACTCCGGTGTTCTGCCATCTTTGGATGGAATCACAATCAATGTTTTATAATCTGTAGTGTACATGAAAAACAAAATGCTTAAACCTGGGAATAATTTAAAAGCTACCAAAAGGTTGCCTTCCCCTTCTTCCCCCATTGGAAAAAAAGTATTCTGGCATGGAGGATTTAGAAGATCAAGCATAGCAGGTATATGTTTGACTTACCTAACAAGGCCTCAACGCATTTCACGTGATTGCCCCGTACAGCATAAAGCAGCGGAGTCCCACCATTCTGTAAAGATGGTTGATAAGGTTAAGCCACAGTTGTCCAGATTATTTTTATTTGGAGGGTTGTGAGAAGATCGGTGCTACTTTTGGCTAGGGAAATTTCTACCTCACCAATCCTTACCCTGGGCCACATTTCAATGCAGTTGAGGAGGCCAATATTCAAAATATCTAATCATGGAACTTATAATCATGTTGGCTCGGGAAATTAAAAGATCTAGAATTATTAGGGTTAAGAGAACTCCCCTCTTAGCCACGGTAATCGCTCTCCCACCCTCCAGTCCATCATCTCATCTCCAAAACTATAAAGGCAGTGTTTCTCAACCTTGGGGATTTTAAGATGAGTGGACTTGAATTCCCAGAATTCTCCAGCCAGTCATTCTGAGAAATTGAAGTCCATGCATCAAGTTCCCAGGGCTGAGAAACACGTCTAAGAATCGTAGCTCTCCAGCCTTTTGATCAAGAGGGCACCTGCACTTAAGATTCTTTCACCTGGTTTGCTCCACAGGGGTTGGAACAGGTCCCATAATCCCCATGGCTTAATGGGACAATGGGACTTGGAGTCCAGCCTCTACAGAAGATAATAAGGCTCAACAAGGCAAGATTCAAATTTTAAAGTTAGGTTGTACTGTAATTCAAATCCCCTTTCAGCCACACCTTTGATCTCAATTATAGCATCTTATTATCTTGCAGGATTGTTGTGATAATGAATAGGGCAGGTATATAATGTTTTGGGGGAGAAAAATCAACTAGAATCAAAATAATTAACAAAATAGGAATATAGGAGAGACTGAATGTTCAGCTTGTTTGGATTTTAGGAGCTAGAAAAAAAGAGGTTGGGCGATCAAGTCAATTTAAGGAACCTGTCCGGATTGGGGCGAGAAAAGGGGCAATTTTAATCCAAAATAACATCACGGCAATTCTGAGTTAAATTATGTTACGCTGACCCCAAACACATTCAAACTCTGGGACGGTGTCCAAAACTGTTGTCCAGTTAATCTTCCAAGAGAAAAGAGACAAAGAGGCAGAAATTTAGACAACCCACATCCTATCTCCCATCTCCCCATTTTAGAGAAGGTTGCTGAAAAGATGGCGGACTTGCAATCACAAAGAACTGAAGAGGAAGCAGATAACCTCTCAACGTTCTTCCATCCAGGTCCGAACCTGGAGAAGGGTACCAAAGCTACTAATGGCTTTTGTGGATGATTCGTGGTTGGATCAAGCAGAGCTGGCCCTACAGATGTCTCCATGGCTTTTGACCCCATCAATCATTCTATCTTACTGGATCACTTCAGCTCTCCTCCCTCAATACCACAGACAGTTACCCAATCATAGGTGTTGATGTCCACGGCCTTCTCCAACAGCAAGGTGACAATGCCCGTGTATCCTCCTGTGCTGGCGAGAGACAAGGCACTCTCTCGCTCCTTAGCGAGGATGTGGGGATCTGCACCCTATGGAGAGTAAGAGAAAGATTTAGAGCAAGGGTCTCCAACCTTGGCAACTTTAAGACTTGTGGACTTAACTCTCAGAATTCCTCGGCCAGCCCAACCTTGGCAACTTTAAGACTTGTGGACTTCAACTCCCAGAATTCCTGAGCTAACATGACTGGAGAAGGAATTCTGGGAGTTGAAGTCCACAAATCTTAAAGTTGCCAAGGTTGGAGACCCCTGATTTAGAGAACGCTCAAAACTGATGCCAGAAATATTGGCTTTCTAAGGCCATTGTCTCTAGGCAAGCTTTCATACCCATTCTAGCATGCTGCGGACGGTTTCAATCTCTCCAAAAGCCGAGGCCCACATCAGAGGGGTGAATCCTCGCTCATCTGGCTTGTTCAGTAGGTTCTCACCTGTAAAAGGGATGAAGTGGTCAGTGGGGCCTGATTGAAATCCATGCTTTGGAGAAAAATTTACTGAGTGGAAAATCTCCAGGCTGTATTCCTTTCTAGCACGATGCTTCTAAAAGTATGGCCCTAAAACTCAAGGAGTGCTCAAAATCAAAATTATTTGCCAGCCTATTGTTATAAAAATAACAAAATCTTAAAATTCCATTGATCAAACATGAGACTGTAGCAATAACAAATGCATTGGTTTTAATTTTTAATACAGCGAATGTAACTCATACAAATAAAAATTCTTTTGGGGTCCTCCATAATTTTTAAAATTGCTTCTCACTTCTATCAGGAACCTTCTGGGTCCTGATAGAAAGTTTAAGAAACACTGCTGTAGTATAGTGTTTTGCAAACAGAGCAACTTTAAGAGGTGTGGACTTCAACTCCTAGAATTCCTCAGCCAACATGTCTGTCTGGGGAATTCAGGGTATTGAAGTCCACAATTCTTAAAAGTTGTTCAAACTAAGCAACTTTAGAAGAATGAGCAAACTAAGACTTTCTGGCAGAAGAATGAGAAACTGAGAAATTTCATGGCTCACCTTTTCGGAGGTTTTCCTTTAACAGGTTCAGTTCACCCTGAGCTGCAAGCTGGTGAATGGACAGAGCTGGAAAATGAAAAGGGAAGACGATCAAGACAGCTTAAGGGTGGTTTAAAATGTTTATAAATTAATAAATATGAATGAGCCGTTCCACACAATGCAACTTGGGATATCTTTATAACAATCAAGCACGTTTCAGATTTACTGAGGCATAGAGTTGCTAATTCAAGTAAGTTTATATATTATGTAATTTTATACTGATTTCAGTGGGTGAGTAAGGCGCTACCGTATTTTTCTGACTATAAGACACACCTAGGTTTAGAGGAGGAAAACAAGAAAAAAAAATTGTTTGCCTCTGCGCGTCCTGTTTTTTCCCTCCCTGTCATCCACAGAAGCACTCTGCAGGCCCAAAATGGGCCTGTTTTTGGCCTCCCAAACCCTCTGTGTGTCCTGTTTTTGCCCTCCCTGGCATCCAGAAATACTCTGCAGGCCAAAAAGGAGCCCATTTTTGGCCTCCCAAACCCACTGCGCATCCCGTTTTCGACCTCCCTGATGTCGGAGAGAGCACAAACGGAACACACGGAGGGTTCGGGAGGCCAAAAACAGAGCCGTATTCATTCTATAAGACTCACAGACATTTCCACCCACTTTTTTTGGGGGGGGGGGAGTGCGTCTTATAGTCCGAAAAATACAGTAAGTGCTATATTACCTACATTACCTTGACAAACCCATTGGACCAAAATTTGACTCAAAGAACAATGAGCACAAAAGCTTGATTATAAGGAAACTGTATTTTTCATCCAGTGACTTATATAGCATATATTTTATTATTAAGAGACTAAAATTGGCTCCATTTCTCTTGCAACATTCAAATTAATTCATATCAATTGATTTGGACCTAATCTCTAAATCAGACCTGATTTGAACCATGAACTGAAAAAAAAAAAAAAATGAATTGTCCCAGCGTGATTCACCCATATTTGAATTAGTTAATGAATTCAATGAACCAAATATTGGCAAAAGCCTAGCAGATTTTCAGAACAAGAGGGAAAAAAGACATTTTTCTTTCTTCCAATAAACTATGTGTTTAATAGAAATAAATACAGTAGTGTAACAGCAGGATGAAAGCTGCAACTTAAAGTGGAAAAAAAGATTTAGAAGTCAATCTTTCATTTTTGAATGTATTCAGTTAGAGTGACTGCAGATGACCTCCAAGATCCCTGCCAAGCCTTACATTCTATGATTTTGGAGTTTCATGTTGATGAGCTGTGTTGCTTTATATATAAGTACTTGCATGGACTGTGAACTGACTTGAGGTTTATGAACAACTATGAATCCCTAACATTTGTAATAAATAAATACAACTTCTCCCATTCTTTCTCAGATACAATATTTAAAATAACATTTGAATGCCTTTGGCCTATTGGTCTTCCACTTCAACAGGTTTTCCCCTCTCTGTGCTTAATTTTTGACAGCTGACTATGCTGGACTGACACAACCTAAAAAGGTTTTCCTTTGTGGCACAGAAAAAAACTCACTATCCAAAGTGGCCGGCAAGGCAGACACTTCATTGCCACGCTGGCGATTTGTCAGAGTGCTGGAACGCTTCAGGATCCCATCTGCATTTTGAGAAATGAAAGGAAGAGAACATTGAATCTTTAGCTCTATTGAATTCACCACCATCAGCAAGATTCCCTTGGCTCGCTGAGTTGTAGCCTTGCTTTAGAAATCCAGTTGAGGTCCTCCAAGATAAACCCTAAGGCAGGAATATCCACAGAGTGCACACAAAAAAGTCAAAGTGGCTACCACAGAGCCATGGAAGCTTTGCCTGTTTATGTGGCAGCCATGCTACTGTGGTAGCCATCTTGACTTTTTTGACTGTGGCCCTGCTCTAAGTAACAAACAAATAGGAGAAAAAGAAGGCATTAAATTAATGCCATTTTGGTTAAGAATTAACCAAAAATTTTAAATAAAAAATTTAAATTAAAGAATTTTTCTTCCAACTCTTCCTAGTACAAGATAAACACACTCCAACCTCAACTTTTTGCTTTTTTAAATCTCTTGTATCTCACACCCCCTTTCCCCCTGTTTACTTTCCCTCCCTTAATTTCTTATTTTCTTTTCTTCTTTGTATTTTATATAATAAAAATAAAAATGATTCATAGTGAAGAATTCACCATTTTTGCAGATCTGCCTTCCACTTTTTATGTACAATTTAAACTGGGCACATTTACTCCATGGGTCGGAAAAGATTTAACAAATGAACTATTCTTTGATCTTTTGGCCGAATACAGAGCACAGAAACTTCCCATCTGGGTGACATCTGCATCTTTTCTCTTTATATTTATATATAAGGCACTCAAACGCTCTCAAGAATTATAAAATGTATCCTTACTGAATTAAATGGGATTTATTTATTATTATTATTTTATTGAAAATCAAAATTTAAAAACATTTGAACGTAGTGATCTTTTGACATATATCAGCAGTCTTTACATTGTTGTATTAGAATATCATCAAACAATATAACATATACACACATATCTATATACATCTTTGCATTGTAGATCTTCATATTCATTCCTATCTTAGGAATTTTATTGTAGTATAAACTCTTTAATTTCTATTTTACATTTTTTACTTCCTTTCATATCCCTCCAATTATAATTTTTTTCCATATTTCTTAGAATTCTGAAGTATCTCGTTCCTTCAGTTCTAACGTTAAGCTATCTAGCTCAGCGCAATGTAGAATTTTTTTTATTATTAAATGAGGTTTATTTTTCAGCATGTACAGGATTGCAGTTTAAATTAAAGACAGTATTCCACTACTCAGCATCTTCATAATTCCTAAATTAACTTGAATACAGGTAGTCCTTGAGTTATATTCACTTAATGACCATTTGAAGTTACAACAGCGCTGAAAAAAATGACTTATGGCCATTTTTCACACTTACAACTTTTGCAGCATCCCCGTGGTCACATGATCAAAATTCAGCTGTTTGGCAACTGGCCCCTATTTAATGACGGTTGCGTCTCAGGGTCACATGACCCCCTTTTGTGACCTTTTGGCAAGCAAAATCAGTGGGGAAGCCAGATTCGCTTAACAACCATGTTACTAACTTAACAACTAGTGATTCACTTAAATGTAAAATGGGGCAAAATTCACTTAACGACTGTCTTGCTTAGCAACAGAAATTTTGGGCTTGATTGTGGTCATAAGTCGAGGACTGCCTGGATCATAAGACTGAGAAACTTCCATTTTTACTCTGAAAAAAAAAACAGATTTTTGGAAGCTGATTTCTGCTGCAGTTATCCTCTCATATCTAATCTTCCGCTCAGAATTCCCTCCATTCGGACTTGAACATACCATTTGAATCATCCCCAGCTTCTGAATATGGAAACAATTGCAGATTTATTATCGTGTCATCGTCATCTTCATCTTTTCTGTCACTAGCTGAAACTTCAGGATCCCTCCGGCCGGTGGCTTGGATCATTTTAGAATTGCAGCGTTGTTCTTGTGTCTGCAGGTGTGTTGACACACTCTGAAAGTGAAGTGATAACACTGAATGGCATGGGCTGGCTCGGAAGCTCGGAGGGGCATACCTGGCAGGATAGAACCAGCATACCTGGCAGGATAGAACCACAAGTAGTTAATGCAGTGTTTCTCAACCTTGGCCACTTTAAGAGGGGTGGACTTCAACTCCCAGAATTCCCCAGCTAGCAAGGGGAATTCTGGGAGTTGAAGTCCACCCCTCTTAAAGTGGCCATGGTTGAGAAACCCCGAGCTAATGGATGAATACATAACCAGCTACGGATTAACAATGGCCAAAGTGGAAGCAGTGAAGCAATTTCAAACAGGAGCAACAAGCAGGAGCCACTTGGTTTGAAGATGCAATTCTTAACTCACCTTTCCTTTCCTGAGACTTCTTGAACCAGGTTTAGAAGGACAGACACCGAATGATCATAGCATGATCGTCTGCAATCCCAGCTTCGACAGGAAGTAATGTTAACAAACAACCCTGCAGCCCTCTCTGATGCAAAGTGAAAATAACTTTCTCTTCCCACAATGCATCTGAATCTCTGGTTATGTCTTTTAAAAAAAAAAAAAACACCTGGCTGGTGGACCCTTTAAGGATTCCCGGGACTTTACGGAATTTTATGAATGAACCGACGGAATTGGCGCCACCCACCCGAACACTCCGCCTATTATGTGTCAGAAGGGGGCGGAGCTGCTTTCCTCCCGAATGTTGAGCCTTAAAGGGACCGCTCTTTTGTTGGTTTTTAAACCCAAAGTAAAGGGCTCTCGACTCTCATCAAGCAAAAAATGAATTCTTCCCTGGCAATTTCAGGAACTCCCGATGTTCGCTTGTAAAATTTTAGATTGCGATGCAGCTATTAAAAATAAATATAAGGTATCTGGGGCTGGCTTGATTTCCTTGGCTAAAGAATAGCTAAGGAAGCCAAAAACGATCCCAAAACAATGTTGGACAAAATAAGATATTGCATTTTTTTTTTCTCTGTGTAACTATAAAGCTCCTCTTCTTTCCCTTTCTTTTCCATGCCCTTCTTTTTTTCCTTCCTTCCTTCCTTCCTTCCTTCCTTCCTTCCTCCCTCCCTCCCTCTCTCCCTTCCTTTTCTCTCTTCTCTTCCTTTGGCTTAGAAAATTCATCTAAAACTAACCCCCTAAAACCATGGGACACGTTTCAATCATTTTTTAAAAAATTGTTTAAAGAGTTAACAAATTTGAAATAAAAGTGATCGTACTGGCCCATATTTTTCTTTCAAAGCCTATTCCTTGCTTGCAAAACAGTTCCATTACTTTCTATAAGATTACATTCACAAAACATATTCAAGTAGTTTGGCTACTATTTTTAATCCATTTTTTGAGTATCGATAATCCAATGTCAAACTAACCAAACAAGGGGTGTTTCTAATCCAACCTAAGACAGAATGAAGCCTAAATAAGTCTTCAATTTTCCATGCTCAGCACGTGCAAACACAGCATAAATGTTCTCATTTTGGGAGGGCCCAGACAAAACAACCAATTCTGTACAGTAAAACAGTGTTTCTCAGTCATAGCAACTTAAAAAATATATGGCTTTCAAATGCAAGAATTCCTCAGCTGGCATATAAGAAATATCATAAATAAAACCACACTAAAATCGATACGGCATAAAAACAATAAATACAAAAACTGAAAACACAGGAACAAACTAAACATTAAAAAAAAAATCTTTAGAAGAACATTCCATGGTTTCTGGAAGACGTTCCTCTACTGAGCGCAGCGGGATTTATTTCCAGGATCCACTGACCATGGTAGAGAGACTCATTGAATACAATAGAAGAAGCAGAAAAGAGTACATTAAGTACTTAGGGACTGGTGACATCCATTCATCTGGAAAGGGAAACGCTCTCTTATAAGCCTTGTCATCTTTTTAGGCCTGAACCCCGGCACGGGAAATCCGGGCATCCAATAAATCAACAAATCCTGACGGATGAAAGAAACGGTACATTTTCCGCAACGTTTTAATTTAAAAAAAACAAAAACCAATAAGAACCTTTCTCCTCGGGCGGTGTTTCCACACAGGTACGTTTCTGACGATGCACCCAGCTTTCCGGAAGTTGCTGCTCGGCTGGAATTCCGCCCCAGCTCTGCGGTCCGCTTTTTCTCACGCCGGGTCGGGCTCTGTTCGGTATCATGGAGGAGGCTGAAATGCAGCTGAAAGTGAAAAAGGGTAACAATGACGGCTACTTCCGGGTTATGTTACACTAAAATAAGTCCGGGGAAGAATGGAGAAAGGGGTGCTTATTCTCTCTCCGCCCCTCTGGGTTGAGATTTTAGGTATTAGTGGAGCAAAAGTAAAATTGGCCTGCGGGATCCATGCCATGACAATTTCTGCCAATCGGGTGGAATACCAACAGTTTTTAATTTTAATATTGAAAAAAATGGCTCAGTTTCAGTATAGATCAGGCATCTTCTCCCAAGCTAGAAATAGGACAGGGGAGTTCTGTTGCATTGAATGAGAGATTTCATTTTTACTGGTCTGGCTCTGCGCAGGCGTTCTCATCCAACCTATGCTGGGTTGCAGCTGGCTAAGGCGTGGATAGGAGACCACTCAGTAATTCCAGAAAAGTAGGCTGACCTGAGAGTGGAGAATGGCAATGGCAAGCTAACTGTTGTGTTGTTGCCAAGAAGCTGTTGTGGCCAAGAAGGAAAGAAACAAGTAGAGCTAAGGAGAAATTTCCTAATGGTGAAAGCAGTCAACCAATGGAATAACTTCAGAAGTTGTGGGGTGCTCCATCACTGGAGGCTTTCAAAGAGATTAGACAACCATGTGTGAAATGCTATAGGCCAGGGTGTCCTGCTTGAGCAGAGGGTTGGACTAGAAGCCGCTGAGGTCCCTTCCCACTGTATTATTCTGTGTCCTAAGTTCCCAGCAGTTGAGCTTCACCTAAACCTTTTGTTTTAAGACTGAAGATGCAGCTTGAAAGACTGCATGTTTCTCCAGAAATAAAATCATCTAGAATGAGCCAGATTTACTCCTCCAATGAGTATTTTAACCTTTGAAAATAGCATGCTGGAAACTCAGTTCTCAATTGTTCAGTTGTAGTCTCTGTGCCTAACTTCCTCACTGGTTCACTGTGAGCATAAAGGGATTGGGCCACATTAATTTGACCTAAGCTTAAAGATACATTTTAATCATAATAGTATTGAGAATTCTAGCTAAATTTGGGTTGCTGACTGGGTGAGTTTGGGCCATTTGTTCTCTCTCTCTGTCAGCCCAACCTTCCTCACAAGGTTGTTATGGGAAAAATAGGAGGCAGGAGCATTAGCTGTGTTTCCTGCCTTCAGTTATTTATTTTTAAAAAGCAGATAAAAATACAATTTTAAATATGTTTGTCACTTTAAGTTATATATAAAAATCAGGATATAAATGTAATAATAATACAGCTTATATGCTGTAATGATACCTCTAAGACCATCAAACATCCACATCTGCCTATCCCAGGTCCTTGGGAAGGACTCGATAGGGTAACAAAAATGCCAAATCTAGTCTGGATATCTGGCTGACTGTGCAACAAACCATAAAAACTGAAGTAGGAAAGAGTCACATTCATCATCAGCCTCCTGAATTCTTAGTCTGTTTTCCAATTTCATTTCTCTCCCTTTGCACCAATGTTCATCTATCATTCTGAAGCAGTTGTCTTTTTTAGACTGCCAACTACCTTAACTTTTTTCCTGGTTAGTTTTTATACTTTGGAATTTTCTCAAAGCCTAAACATCCCTTTCTTGTATTGGTGGCTTGAAGTTATGACATGTATTATTTGAACCCTTATTTTTTCTCCTGGTGTGGAAGCAAAGCTCTGAGGAAAAAATATCCTTTCTTTTCTTCTTATAGTGACTGACAAGTTTACAGAAAGCATGTATGTCCTGGCCAATGAACCTTCTGTTGCATTGTATCGACTTCAAGAACATGTCAGGCGCTCTCTCCCAGAACTGGCTGAGCACAAAGTAAGCTGTGATCTGAACTGTAAATGAGAATGGATGTAGTATCATTCCTAGAAATAGTCTATAATAAACCTAATTCTGCTACGGACAGAACTTAGGAGCTCGGATGTTTAATAATTTGTAATTCCTCACAGCCAGAAAAGTAGTATATTGGGAAAAGGGAAATTGGACACTTTTTCCATGATATGTTAGTTTTCAGTGTGCAAAGTATCAGGCCAATGTAGAGGCAACTATGAGGAGTATGCTTATGCATATCTACTAATTGAAGTGCATTTTCTGTAATGGAGGATTACTGGTCTTTAAGTCCTGAGTATATATATCTGGCCTTTTATCAGTTTGTGTTTGTTACATTGCTAGGAAGAATGTGGTAAAATGCCCCTATGAGAGAGGGAGCACTACCAGCTTCTTTGAAAGAGTCAGTAATTAGGGTACTCCTGAAAAATAGATTACACCAGATTGAGAAGCAACAGGTCACCATGGGCTGCATATTGGAGGTAGTGACCCTTTGAGACCTATATGCAATAAAATTTCATTTTAATGTATGCCAATTAATATACATTCAAAGTGACAATAAAGTTATTCTAAGTTCTAAGTTCATCCTTTCACACCCTATTGGTTAAGTAGTTATGGATCACTTCAGAATTGTTTGGGATGCAACTGTATATATCGACTCCATCCAGTTTCAATATCTACGAATATACACAAAATATACATCCAACACTGACTGAGTATAATACACTGCTGAGTATAATACACAAGAGATGGATTGTACTGTAATATGTTATTACACATCTGAATGGGGTATTGAGATTTTACATCTTTGTAGATATTGTACTCTCTAATTGCAAATGGAGATGTGGGTAGTCTGTTTTCCTTATCTTCATTTTTAAGTGCTTTGGTTTTATTGTATTGCGAACAGTTGCTGGGGTGCATCCACAGTTTCGTTGTACTTGTACAATGACAATAAAGTGCTTCTTCTTCTTCATCCAGTTTCAAGACCTTCTTTGGGAGAAACTTAAAAATTACTTACCTTAAGAAGCTGCATATTGGGAAGGGAATAATTTCCTTCTGGATAATTATATTAGAGAAAGCTGTATCTTCACTACTTCTCTTTGACCTCTTGGTTTCCCTTTGCTCTCTTTTGAATATGTCCTTGTTACTTATCTGCATTGTTAATTCTCTTATTCAGCATTAATTAAACAGTGATGGGAAGAAATTACAGATAGTCCTCAACTTGCAACAGTTCACTTAATGACCATTCGAAGTTACAACAGCAATAAAAAAAAGTGACCTATGACCATTGTTCACATTTACAACTGTAGCAGCATCTCCATGGTCACGTGATCAAAATTCAGATGCTTGGCACCTGATTCATACTTATGGCGGTTGCAGCATCCTGGGGGTCATGTGATCATCTTTTCTGACCTTCTGACAAGCAAAGTCAATGGGGAAGCCAGATTCACTTAACAACCATGGGTTACTTAGTTATCAACTGCAGTGACTCACTTAATAACTGTGGCAAGCAAGGTCGTAAAATAGGGCAAAATTCACTTCACAAATGTCTCCCTTAGCAACAGAAATTTTGGGCTCAATTGTTGTCATAAGTCGAGGACTTACTGTATTCTTCCATCCTTCAAAGCAACGAGAAAAGGGTTGTGTGAACTAATGTGGAAAACGGATGGCACGTAAATAGAACATGAGAAAAAATGACTCTTTAAAAAATAAAATGTGAATCCCTTGCTTGACCAAAGCCATCATACCTGCTCTTCTTCCATGCTTTGCATAATGTGGTTCACTTTAAAAGAGTATACAGGTAATTCTCAACGACCATAATTGGGACCAGGATTTCTGATGCCAAGCAAGGTGGTTTTTAAGTGAGTCGCACCTGATTTTATGACCTTTTCCCCACGGTTGTTAAGCAAATCAATCCGGCTTCCCCCACTGGTTGCCAAGCGCTTGAATTTTAATCATGTGATCTTGGAGATGCTCTGAAGGTTGTAAGTGCAAGAACTGGTCATAAATCACCCCGTTGTAACTTTGAATGCTCTCTAAGCAAATAGTTGTAAATCAAAGTTTACTTGTAGTGTGACAAATATGTACATATTCTACAAAAGTCAAAAGCTTAAGGGAAAAGTGATCAAAAGTAAATCCCTTTTTTTTTTCCACTTTGCATTTCTGCACAGGACACAAAGGGTAACAGAAAGTGGAGGAAATCTCTTCCCTCTTCCAGATCCTGCCCTTATTCTTTTTCTCTCCCTTCCTGCTTATGAAAAAGAAAAATTTTAATGTCCAGAAATCTTTATTATCCCTTTGGCATTTTGTTTTATTTTCAGCTTAATTGCCTATTGATATCAAAGCGGATTTTTCCGATTTCTTATTTAAGTCTCTTAGTTGTCAGTATAGGAAAGGAGAGAGAAGAAGAAAAAAAGCCAAACCTTTCCCTTTTCACTTGCCTTCGCTGCTTCCGACTCTTCTTTGGGAGCGATGTTATTTTTTTGTAAGTTTAAATTCCAGGGTACCTTAGTTGTTGCTTTTACAATTTAACCTGGTCAGCCAAAACTTTCACTTCTTATCTTCCTCCTGCACATTCTTTTCTGGTCGAGTTCTCCTTTGTGGTGGCCATTTCTGACCACCGCTGCAACCGCCTTCAGGAAAGGGAGTAATGGCCAGCTGAGAAGAAGAGATGCGGCTCTCCTCAACCCTGCTGGCGGTCTCCCCCCTCTTCACCACCTCTACGGGGTGGCTTAGCCCCAAAACCAGCCGGCTCGGGGCGCTCCAGTGGCGAGCCCAGACAGAAACCGCGCACGATCATGGATTTCTGTCTGTCGCCGAAGCCCTTCAAACCGGAAGTGCCTGGAATTAAAAAGAATCTACAGTAAAACTTCAACAAGACTTCTAAAAGATACATTTTAACTGAAACTTTGCAACTAAATAGTAACCCCAGGAAGAGAAAGTGAAAAAAAAAGAGCAAAAAAGAAACAGCTTGCGTGTATTTGGATTATTTGGTGATCTTTGGATTCTTGGTTATTATATTTGAATGACTAAAATCAATCAGGTGGTTGTTTAAAAATTTATACAATGGCACCACTTCTGGATGAATTGAAAATGGAACTTAAAAAGTACAAAGAAGATGCACAAGAAGGGAAGGGTTCTTTTGGCTTCGTTTTTCAATTC